GTCTGCCTCTCTGGCACCCCTTTTCAAAATTACAACCTTTAGGGAGATGGTTCAGTGGTTAATAGCACATATTGCTCTTGCAGGACCCAAGTTTGATTCCTAGCATCCATATCAGATGGCTCACAATCACCTGTAACTCCAGCTCCAGGGGATCCAGCACCTCTGGCTTCTGCTGGCACCTGTGCTCATGTTCATACTCACAATTACACAAACACACAATTTTGTACACACACTCTTTTAAAATAATAATAATCTAAGCAAGAGAACAGAGTGTAATGGTTAATTTTATGTTGACTTGGCTAGGCTATGGAGCCCAGTTGTTTGGTCATATATTAGTCTAGAACATTTCTTTGACAAATTTTACATATGATTAACATTTAGAATGGGTACACTTTAAAGCAGATTGCTTTCCATACTGTGAGTGGGCATCATCCAATCATCCAATCAGATGAAGGCTTTAAGAGAAGAAACTAGAACTCCCTGAAGAGGACAAATCCTTCTACAAGACTGAAGCACACAAAAGTGTACCCATTCTGTGCTGCAGATTTTGGACTCAGGACAATAACATTACCTCTTACCTAAGTTTGTCTAAGTGTGTGTGTGTGTGTGTGTGTGTGTGTGTGTGTGTGTGTGTGTGTTATGTGTGTGTATGTATTGTGTGTATGTGATAAAGAAAAATCTGGTCTTTGTTCCAGATTGTTAGTACAGAACTCCAAAAACCTTTTAACTCCATAAGTGTTGAGGGTGTCTGTTACATTAATGAGATGGAAATGCAGATTTGCTTCTATTTTTAATTGAGTAAGCAGGAACAACCATCATTCTAAATCTAATTAAGACCTGACCAGCCAATATATTTATGCATAAATGCATAAATCTCAAACAAATATCAGCAAACTAAATCTAATAAATCTAATTCAAGTATTGGGACCAACATTGCAAATGTGTTATAGGTATCCTAGGAAATCACACTTGATTTAAGATCTTACCTTCTCATGCAACAAGAAAAATACATGGCCATCTAAATAGAGTCAGAAATATGCTTAATACTTAGCATCCAGTATAAAGGGATTAAATTTAAATTTTAGAAGATTTTTTTTAAATTTAGCACAAATTCTTGATAAAGCTTCCTTAATTCGGTAAATAACATTTGCAAAACTACAAAAAACATTATACATAACTGGTGAATTATTGAAAAATTTCCTAGACTTAATAAAAGAGACAGATGCCCACAACACACTGCTACTGAATATTGTACTGGAAGTTACAATCATAAATGAAGGCAAGGAGAACAAAGACATAAAGATTGGAAAAGAAATAATAAAACTGTTACACATGAAATGACTTAGAGAACATTCCTACAGGAGAATAAAGTCAAAATGATAAGCTTAGAAGGTCCTCTAAGCAGATCCATATGGAATTGTATTTTCAGGTTTCAGCATTATTTATAAAATGGTATTTACAAGGGGGCAGTGGTGGCACACATCTTTAATCCCAGCACTAGGGAGGCAGAGATAAGTGGATCTTTGTGAGTTCAAGGCCAGCCTGGTCTACAGGCTACACAGAGAAACCCTGTCTGGAAAAAAAAAAAAAATAGAAAGGAAGGAAGGAAGGAAGGGAGAACTGCTTGCCTAGCACATGAGATTTGATCCCTAGCACTAAAAATAAGTAAATAGATGATATAGATGATAGATGGATGATAGGTAAGATAACAGATAGATAGATAGATGCTATACAGATAAAATGCTATACCAAATGCCATTATGTGCCTCCTGATAATTATTATTACCTATGAAATATGTCTCCTCTCCCCAACAGAAAACAAATTCTCATAAATCTTAAACCCAACTTCCTCTTGGTTCTGGTTCATGTTGAGTTGCTGAACTAGAATACTTCTCATCAGCTCATTTATGAAGGAAGGGGTTGAATGTTTTTCATTAATTGTGTATTCATTGATGTTCTTACATTAAACTATATTACCTAAATAATAAAATTATTTTTAAAACTAAAAAAAAAGAAGTAGGAGAAAGAGAAGGGGAGGAGAGGAAAGCACGTGCGACTAGGAAGATTGAGCCAGGGTAGGAACAGAAGACGAGAGAGAGAGAGAGAGAGAGAGGGAGAGAGAGAGAGAGAGAGAGAGAGAGAGAGAGAGAGAGAGAGAGAGAACATAAAAGAGGGAGCCATTATTGGTTTGAAGAGAAAACTGAACCTAAAGAAAAGTCTAGAGATCTACAAGACTGCCGCCAACTAACAATTTGAGCAACCGTGGAAAGGCTACCATAAATGCCCTTCCCGGATAGTAAGATCAACAATTAACTTATCCACCATCATGGAGCCCTCATCTAGTACCTGTTGGAAACAGAAGCAAACCCCCATACCTAAACACTGAGTCGAACTAGAATCCAGATGCAGAAGGAGAGAACAAGACCAGGTTGCAGAAAACACATAAAGACAGCTGACCTGAACAAGGAGGAGCTAACAGGACCCCAGACTGATATCTGGGAAGCCAGCATGGGACTGACTCAGGTCCCCCTGAATATGGGTTTAAGGGACCTCAGACAGTGGAACCAGGATGTATCCCTGGTGCACAAAAGGACTTTGCGGACACATCCCCCATGGAGGGATAACTGCCTTAATCTAGAGAGAGGTGAGAAATCCTGGTCCCTACTTCAAATGACTTGACAGATCTACATGACCACACCTGGATGGCATTGCCCTACATGTGGAATTGAGATGGGGGGATGGGAGGGGAGAGTGGTCAGGGTGCATGTGAGGGGGCAGAGAGGGTAAGAGGAAGGGCGGAAGGGAGGGAGAGGGAACTGGGATCGACATGTAAAATAATAAATTAATTAAAAGAAAGAAAAAGGAAGGGGTTTAGTTGACCTCATGGTTTTGGCCTTCTAAGAGCCAAGTGTTAGCATGTCCATAGTTTCACATGAGGCCTTTGCACAGCTTCAACTCACAGTAGAAGCAAAGGAGCAAGTGGGTGCTTTTTTTTTTTTTTTTTTTGATAACTCACTAAGTCTGATTAGTGTTGCCCATATGTGCATGGCTACATAGCATGGGTTCTTGATCAACAGGTGTTGACTGAGAAATCTAGAGGAATGGTCCTCTTATCCAATACATAAATGAAACTAATCAAATAAAAGAGACAGCAGATTAAATAAGCATGCTGTTCAATCCCAACATTCAATATTGAGTTGGGTTGTGTGACTATTTTGGTCATTGTGTGACTATTGGAATTTAAATGCTGGTGGGTATTTGAGATATTAAGGAATTATTCAAATTAGATTGTTACATTTTTAGGTGTAATAATGATATTGTGATTGATCTGTTTTGCGTTTCTCTTTTTTTTCTGTTTGGAGTGGGGCAGAATCTCAAAAATAGGCACACTAGAACAGGAAATTTTCTGATTTGCTTCAAAATGATGTAGGCAGGGTTGAAGCCAAGTGACAAGTCTATGAAGATTCATCAGGCCACATTTTTTCCCCCATACAGAGGCCTGAATAAAGGGCCTTCTTCACACTAGGCTCATTTACTAATTTTGTGTGCCTTTGATTTGCCTAAAATTATCCTTAATAAAAGTCAAGGAACACTAGGCAGTGGTGGCACATGCCTTTAACCCCACTACTCGGGAGGCAGAGTCAGGCAGATTTCTGTGAGTTAGAGGCTAGCCTGGTCTACAGAGAGAGTTCCAGGACATCCAGGATTACAGAAACACACAGTTTCAAAAAAAAAAAAAAAAAAAAAAAAAAACTAAAAGAAAATGGACCAGAGATGTAGCTCAGTGGTAGAGTGTTTTGTTAGCATGAGCTATGTACTCACTAACACACACACACAAATGCACAATGACTTCAATAGGCAGTTTACAAAAGAGAATTTCCAAATGGCTAGTAAGCCTCAGATGCTGTTCAGTGTTACTAGTTATCAGGGGGAATGAACATGAACATAAAATTACAATGTGATACCACACACTCACTGGAATGACCAAAATAGAAGAGGTAGGCATGCCATGTCTGGGCAAGATAGCAGGACTGCGGGGGTGCCAGTCCCTCATGGTTTGCTCACAGAACTGAAAACTCAGAAGAGTGGTAACCTACTAACGTTAAACACATGCACAAATACTCCGTTCCTCTCCTGCTGGAGATAAAGTTCCGTTTGCAATTCACTTCCTAACACCTTCTCTGTCATGTCATATGATTATAAAGCTTTATAAAACAAACTCACTATCATCTGCATCACATCCATGTGATGGACAATATCCACACTACTCCTCAAACTCTTTCCCCCCAAAGTTACATCATATCAATGTATTCACTTCAGCTGGAGCTCCTAGACAGAATGTACTTCCTCAGTGTCTATTTGATAATAGATAAATGATAAAGCTACCACTACTACATATCCTCCTCCTCTTCCTCTTCTTCTTTTGAAACAGTCTCTGTGTAGTTTCTCTGTGTATCTCTGGCTGTTGTGGAACTCACTACATAGGCCAGACTGGCCTTGAACTCACAGAGATCCTCCTGTCTTTCCCTCCCAAGTGTTGGGATTAAAAGAATGCACCACCACGCCAAGCCTAAGGCTTCATGAAGTGAATTAAGAGAAACACAAACCGGTCAGCAGTGGCTCACACCTGTAATCCCAGCACTTGGAAAACAGAGGCAGGCTGGTCTCTGAGTTCAAGGCCAGCCTGATCTACAGAGTGAGTCAGGAGAGCCAGGCAGGGATACACAGAGAAATATTGTCTAGAAAAATCAAAAAAAAAAAAAAAAAGAAAGAAAGAAAAGAAAAGAAAAGAAAAGAAAAAGAAAGAAAGAAAGAAAGAAAGAAAGGAAGAAAAGGACGGGGTGGGGGCAGGGAGCCATCTACCAGTGCTGTCTCAACCCCTCTCTGCCCTCCATTTAGTTTCTCCTATGGCCCAGGGGCCCAGGGGATAGGCATTCAGACAAACCTATAGGGCTTCAGCATGGAGAGAAGTGAATTTCAATAGAGTGGCTATCACATACCTCTGTCTTGGCTGCCACCTGTGTCTGGCTCTGATACCTAGAAAACAATACCCATATGCCACAAACCAAGAAACCAAGTAGCATAAGACTGAGATGTGCCGGCGGCAGTGGGACATCCAGCCCCCACATGAGCGCCATTACTCAAGCCCATACCCTTCTCATCTACAGTTTCTGTCTCCACACTGAGATTCCATGACATCACAATAAGCACTGCCAGGTAAAGCCAGTCCGTGTGCACACTCAGGTACCAGCTGCTGCCCTTCCCTGTGGCTGACTTGGCTCTCAGAGCTCTGGTATCTAAAGTTCAGGGAAGAATCCATCTACGAATCTTCCTTCTAGGGTCCAGCTAGACAAAGTTGTCATTTAGGCAGAGTTTCAAAGATCTGCCAAAACAGCTTGTTCTGACTCACATTTTCTTTGGAGCTGGTTGGTCACTGTCCTGAGCTGGGTCTATGGCCATAAATTTCAAACTGCAGGTTAGAAGACAGAATCAAGAGACTTGGGATACTTGAAGTTGGTTTTCTAAGTTCACAGGTCTCCATATTTCCTACACACATCACACTGAGCAGTGAGTGACCTTGGAGGGCCTATGGTCTCACTGCCACGTTTAGAATAGACACTGTATCACACTGTCTTCTCTAGAGTGAACAATATTGATGTGTTCAATTCATGTGATAAAGAAAACTTTGTTTCATATAGGAACACTAATGAACTACTGACTAGTAGAAGACAGACAAGGTCTTTTCTCCACAGGAATTTCTGTCTCTAGGGGCAGTACAATTAATATTCTTGGGAAACCCACTAAAAAAGTAGTTAAAGATGGTATTTGTGCTTTATGAAGCACTGTACACTTTTTTAATTGTTTTTATTTTATGTGCATTATTGCCATGGGTGTCAGATTCCCCTGGAATTGGAATTACAGATAGTTGTGAGCTGCCATGTGGGTGCTGGGAATTGAACCTGGGCCCTCTGGAAGATCAGTCAGTGCTCTTAACCATTGAGCCATCTCTCCAGCCACACACTGCAATTTCTATAAGAATTTTAGTTCTAAAGGACTCTGACTTGTTCTCTGAGCATATGCTATGTTGCAGGTGCTAGCTGTATACCAGCCTGGTTTCCCAGGGAAGAATTAGGAATGAGATATCCCTTTGGGTTCTTAAAATATTTATGTGCAGTTCAACAGGACCTTTAGAGATTTGTTTTATTACTATTTTAAATTATGTAAGTTTTGTGGTTTTTTTGTTGTGGTGGTGGGTTGTTTGTTGTTTTGTTTTGAGACAGGGTTTCTTTGTGAAATAGTTCTGGCTGTCCTGGAACTTCCTCTGTAGACCAGGCTGGCCTTGAACTCACAGAGATCCACCTGCCTCTGCCTCTGCCTCTTCTGGGATTAAAGGTGTGCACCACCACGGCCTGGCTAAATTATGTGTTTATGTGCATGTGTGCATGAGTGCAGGTACTAGTGAGGGGCTAGAGGGGATCTTCAGTTACAGGGGTTTGTGAACCACACAACATGGGTGCTGGGCACTGATCTTGAGTCTCTGAAATAGCAGTAGACATGTCTCACCATTGTTCTACCACCAGCCCTGACAAGGACCTTTAGATTATGATGTCAATGTGTTCCTTAAGGGTTCATGGGGTGAAATTTCACCTCAAGGCATTAGGAGAGTAGGAACTTAATTCAAGTACATAAATAATTGTTTATTATTAAACATAATATTTTTGGTACAGGGTCTCAGCCCAATCAGACCTCAAATTCACTATGAGGCCAAAGCTGGCCTTGAACCTTTTTAAAAATTTTACTTAATTAACATTATTGTCATTTATTTTACATACCAGCCATAGTTCCCCCTCCCTCCTTTCTCTCCCTTCCCTCCTGTCCTCTCTCTCTCTCTCTCTCTCTCTCTCTCTCTCTCTCACACACACACACACACACACACACACACACTCCTGTCTACCCACCCCCTCGAATCCACTCCTCCTCCATCTCCATTTAGGAAGGCCCAAGCCTCCTGTGGGCTTGAAAAAACTCATGGCCATCAAGTTGAGATAGGACCAAGCTCCTCCTCCTTCATAAATGCTGGGTGAGGTAATCCATCTTGGGGACAGATTCCCAAAAGCCAGCTCAGCACTGGGGACAGGTCCTGATATTACTGTTAGGAGCCTTACAAACAGACTAAGCCATACAATTGTCACACACATGCAGAAGGCCTAGGTCAGGCCTTGAACTTCTTAATCCTACTGCCACCGCCATCCATGTGCTGAGCGGATATGTGAGCGCCACTAGCCTGACATCAACTATGGTGTTTAAAAGTGGGGCCTTCCAGTTGCGATTAAGCATAAAATTCTGTGCATGGAGCCTCCATGGTTGAAGACCAGTAGCCTTAGAAGAGAGAAAAAGAACATACGTACACACATGTGCTCCCTGTTCCACATCTGGTTCACACATGTGTTCCTTGTTCTACATCTGGTACACATATGTGCTCCCTGTTCCACATCTGGTACACACGTGTGCTCCCTGTTCCACATCTGGTACACATGTGTTCCTTGTTCCACATCTGGTACACACGTGTGTTCCCTGTTCCACATCTGGTTCACATATGTGCTCCTTGTTCCACATCTGGTTCACACGTGTGCTCCCTGTTCCACATCTGGTTCACACGTGTGCTCCCTGTTCCACATCTGGTTCACACGTGTGTTCCTTGTTCCATATCTGGTACACACATGTGTTCCTTGTTCCACATCTGGTTCACACATGTGCTCCCTGTTCCACATTTGGACTCTACCAGTAAAAGGTCTGTCACCAAATGTGACCTTTCAACACTGCTTCAACTCAGAGCCAAAGTAAACTTATTTTCTTGATCAAGTAGCCTCGTATGTGTTTTAAATATTTAGCCACCATGCTGGGGATGTAACTGGCTTTGAACTCAGGGGTCCGCCTACTTCTGTGTCCTGAGCTTGGGATTAAAGACGTGTGCCATCACATCCCTGCAGGAAATCTAGTTTTCTAATATACTTTTTATTTTAGATTAATCACAAAAGCTGTGATAATAATATAGTAAACTCCATTTACCCTTTCTCCTCTATCCTTGACATTTTTAAAAATCTAGTTTATGTGTATTGATATTTTGCCTGAATGTATGTCTAGGATCACACATGTGATCAAGAAGGCATTAGATCCCCTGGCAGTAGAGTTATAATTCTACCATGTGGCTGCTGGGATTCAGCCCAGGTCCTCTGGAAGAGCAGGCAGTGAGTGATCTTAACCACTGAGCCATCTCCCCAACCCTACTCCCTTTGTTTTCTTTTGTGCTTTTGGTTTTTGAGATAGGGTTTCTGTGTGTAACAGATCTGTCTGTCCTGGAACTTGCTCTGTAGATCAGGCTGGTCTCGAACCCACAGAGATCTGCCTGTCTCTGCCTCCCGGGAGCTGGGACTAAAGGTGTGCACTACCAGTGCCCGGCTCAGCCCCACTTTAAACATCTTATAAAACCTCAGTACACTTGTCAAGACCATGAGGTAAACCTGCAATGTGGAAGTGGGAGGATCCAGAATCCAGGGTTAGCCTTGGCTACATTGCAAATTCAAAGCCAGCTTGAGCTACATAAACCCTAAAACAAAAACATTGACACATTTACTACTATCTAAGCCAGCCTTCATTTGTATTTCATATTTTCCCACCATTAATCAGGATCCAACCCATAATTCCATGCTGCTAGAGACCAAACCCAGCGTCCTGAGTGCTCCACAAATCTCTGTCACTGTGCCAGAAAGAGGGGGAGTCTCTATGATGTCTCTGTGCTTAGACTGAGCTGGGGGGGGGTAAGATGGAGACTACACAGCAGGGCCACGCCCTTCCTATTCCAGAATACCAGGAGGGATGTGTTATTAACTTGCAACACTAGTCTCAAGGACATTTCTCTACTTGAAGTTATTCTCTTTCTTTGTTTATATTTTGCTTCTGGAAGTGGCAAATCTATAAATCTAACTTCTATTGGAGGTATGGAGGGGCTGGCATGATTAAGTTCCATCTCCTGGAGGAATACTATAACACAACATATATTATTTGAAATTCTGGAGTAAGAAAGATTTGTCTTTTCCTCACCACATTCTACTTGTTCATTTATATTTATTAGTATGGATGTGTGTGTATTTCTTTTGTACTTTGTGTTACAACTCAGTACTGTTGTTTTCATTTTGTTGTTCAATTTTTCCAGCTTTAGCAGTGAGAATATCTTCTGCCTGTTTGCTTCCAATACACCCCATCATTCTGGAGTTTAGGAACCTTCTAAACCAGATCTTATATTTCTCTCACTCTGTAGCCCTTAGTCACCAACTAAAAAAAGATCAGTTCTCCCCTCTCCCATGAAGGGAATTTTTTAAAAAAGATTTATATATTTATTATGTACAGTGTTCCACCCAAATGCCTGCCTGCAGGCCAGAAGAGGGCACCATATCTCATTATAGATGGTTGTGAACCATGATGTGGTTGCTGGGAATTGAACTCATGACCTCTGGAAGAGCAGTCAGTGCTCTTAACCTCTGAGCCACCTCTCCAGCCTGAAAGGAATGTTTTACACCATCTAGATTCTATATGAAAAGTCTGTCCTCACAATACTAGGATCTAATCCATGTGTACAAACTCCACCTTGAGTTTAGATGGGATACTGGGCATTTTGCTGTGTTTGCTGAGCCCATATCTGGAACTGGGTTGGTACTTTCATCCCCCATGTGGCTCAAACTCCCTTCTTCGACCTTTCAGACTCTTCAACATACTCAAGATGCAAGCAAGCCTGCCTAATCCCAATATCACCTTAGTTGTGAAATTAACAGCTAGCTGACGTGGAAGAATGGTTGTGAGTTCCATTTTTAATATTAGATTTCAAATATGTTCAGTATCCAACTGTCTCTCACTTTAAATATTCTTGGTTTTGATCTAGCAAATGGGTATCAGAGGGATCATTTGCTTTTATCTTCTTCAATCCAGTGGTCAGCCCCTGTCAACATTTTGTCATGGTTGCTGCCTACTTTCTAATTGTTTTCATCCCCTAAGATGTTTGCTTTCTCCAAAGAATGCTAGCTAGCTCTTTGGAGGCAAGTTGTAGCTCATTTGTCTTTGGATAATTCTTTGGGAAAGAGAGCCCTCAATTCACAATCTCCTATGCACCTGCTCACATGAAGGGATTACAGGCATGCACTGCCAGGCCTTATTCAATTCTAACACATTTCTGAACTTCTTTAACTCTGTCTGGAGTCCAGAATTCCCAAGCAAGGGCCTAACTCTTTGTTGTTCATGCCACATAACAACTGTAAGCCTTCAAAACATCCTCAGGTTTTATTTGCCTCACTTTAACCTCCTTTATTCCAAAGCTTTCCTTGATTCTTGACTTCCCCTGAAACATCCCAAAATAATTCTAGCTTGTAAAGGCTCCCTTAACTCTCTCCATGGGGGAAGTCCTGGGGCATCTCTTAATTGGCTATCTCTAAGCCACAAGGGGGAGCCAGATCTCTATAGTAAGAGCCTTGGCTGCCGGTACTGAAGACCGCACCTGGGGGGGGAATCCAAGTGTCTTTGATTTAGCCAAAGCAGCAATAAACTGAAGTCTAAAGCTGTGTAGACAAGTTTCTAATGTTTGTTGGGTCCTACCACCAAAGGGCCCCCAGAAACCCCAGAGTTCCTTTGCTCTTTCTTGCAAACCCAGGAAGAGGGTGCAGCCAAAGCCCACTGATCTCTAAGCGGATGTGGCATTCATTCTTGTCAGAAGGATCTTGTCTCATTGGGATTGTCTTTCTCTAGTGAAGAGTACCTGGGACACAGTTTCTCTCTTGTCCAAAATTACCTGATGCCCAATTTTCATTGTTTGTGTGTACTGAGTCTGATAACCGACTTTTTGCAAGGTTAGGTTCCAAAACAAGAAATTTAATTTTATTTCTGAGATCAGAAGATACCAGTAAAAGTGGAAATGAGAGGACTCCTCCCTGGTCCTGGGCTGTCAGTGCCCCACCCAAATTAGGTTTGTTCAACCACCACGGGTATTGCTGGCACAAGTCTTCTTAGGACTGGACCCAGGCTCAGCCCCTTCATGGTCCCAGAAACATCAATTCACTGCACTACTACAGGCTGTAGGGTCTCCAAGGGCTTGGGCAGTGCGCTTCTGACCCGGCCCAGAGAGGGTGCTCCTGACAACTTCACAGACAGAAGGAGCTGCAGCCAGGCACGACTTAGCTTCTGTGATGCGGCACCTGAGTAGTAGGCTCGTCAAGGCTGTGGGGATCACCTGTGGAAAGGAGCTGGACAAGCTGCAGAAAAGGTAAGGTCATTTGAGAAAGAACCCTGGAGAAGACAGAGAACTGAGCACAGGAGTTAAGTTGGGTCCAAGAATAGGAAGTTGTTACCAAGACTAGTAAGAAGTAGGGGTCAAGAGCAGAGAAAAACCTTCACTTGAGCTGGAAAATTCCTGTTCCAAGTGCCTTCTCTCAATTCTTCTTGATGCCCCTCCAAGGCAGAACTGAAGCCTCTTTGTTGGCATTTTTCTTTGCCTCTGTAGTTTCTGTTACAGTCATGTCTCCTCACCCCACCCACCCCTCCAAGTGGGAGCTCCAAGTGGCACGGATCTCTGAGCTTTGTAAATCCAGTGTCATACCACGTTCCTCAGATGTTTAAGATCCTCAGAAAGTGTTGTGGGACAGCCAGCAAGGGAGAAGGATACCTTCTGCTTCTTGCGGGCAACCTGGACATGGCGGGAGATGGGAGCAGCACGGACATCATCGGACAAGGATCCAGGAAAATGAATGGCTTGGAGGAGGCTCTCAATGCAGCAAGCCTTGGACTGTCCAGAGAACCGCTGTGGGAGAAGCAGTAAAGTCAGTGTCATGGTAGATGCCAAGGAGAACTGAGCATGGTACCACAGGAGAAGGAAGTAAGGGGGCTAGGATCCTGAATACTGGCTAAAGACACTGTGGAGAATTTTCACTTCCGGCAATCCAAAATCACCAGGTATAAAGAATTGGGTCAAAGGAAATGGTGGGCCATCACTGGCCTATAATGAATGGGAACTGGTGAGATTTACCACTGTGAACCAACAACCCCATAGATCAAAGATGAAGCAACCTTCAAGGCCATCCATCATGCTCTCTGGTCAGCATCTACTCTCTCCTTTCTGGCATTAGCCCCTTTTTTTTCCCCCCTGAATAGCTGTTGGTCTCCATTCTGAGGCCATAAGATAAGGAAGTTCATCTCACATTGTATCCCACCAGAGTCTTGAAAGTACACAAAGCAGATGAGGAGGGGTCCCTTTCCCCCTGGAGGGCCGGGATTGGCTCAAAGTTGTGCACATGACCAAATACAAGGCAATAAAAGCCCTCCCTCTGTCGACACAAACTCTTCTGTCAGGATGTTAGACTAGTACTAACTGTGTTCCCCAGTGAAGAAAATGGGCACGAGATTGAGACCAGCTCAGAGCTTACTGAAGATTCTAGGTCCATCCATCTGTCCCAGCTACATGAACTATCCTGGAACTCACTTTTGTAGGCCACGTTGGCCTTGAACTCGGAGACCCGCCTGCCTCTGCTTCCTGAGTGCTGGGATTAAAGGCATTGGCCACCACCACCTAGCTACTGAGTTGGGTTTCTATTGCATCCTTGAAACTTAAAGAAAGTCACCTGGTAGTTACAGTTTCATACTGTGTACCTTTGTGTGCATGCAGTGCAGACCAGAGGATATGCCCGAGAAAGACACACCTATGAAAAACTAGCCCTTAACCCTACATCCCTCCCCGACTTTGCAAAAAGACCAACTTTATGTGGCAGTCTAGGTTTGGGGGCCTCCCATAACATTCCCACCTGCAGCATGGCCAGTGCCCTCCAAAAGAACTTGGAGTTGGCAGTGCGCAGGTCCAGCATGTGGTTCTGTAGGATCTTCCCCAGCAGCACGTGGCCCCTGTACTCACTGTATTCAACACCAACTTGGTGCTTAGCTCACGCTGGAAATCTGAAATGCAAAGGCACCAGAGCACCAGAAGTTAAAAGCCTGGGAAAGCAGCAAGATGAGAGAGCCATAGCATAACACAGAAAACCCGTCCTAAGGAACCAGACACCAAAACGCAGATCATTTGTTTTTACGAACAACCTTTAGTAATTTTTTTTTAGTAATTTTTTTTTAACTTTTTATCCTATTATTGTAAGAGCTAAAAGTTAACCTATAAACTCCACTTGCCCAAGGGCAGATAACTCCCTGGGATGCTGGGGCTATTGTTCATGTGATAACAAGTCAAGTGTTCTCACTTCAGTTAACAAAATTGGTGGTCCCAACTGTACATGATGTGCCTGGTCATACATATGGGCGGGAGTACATCAGGATGGATGCTTGCCCCCATTGGACAAAGACAGGAGGTAAGTCGCCTTGTGAGCTCTGCCTTTACTAGCACCTGATTAACCCAATTCAACACTATTCTCTGGCAATTCCAGGTACAGACCTGACCAGTGTCCATCTTTCTAGTCAGTATTTGTTAAAGTTTGCTTTAGACAATTATGGATTTGGCCTTTCTCCTCACAACTTTCAAGTATAAGTCTACTTATTTTTTTAAAGGTTTATTTACCTGTACTTTTAACATGTATGGGGTTTTTGCTGACATGTGTATCTGTGTACAACATGTATGTCCGTGAACTCAGAAGCCAGCAGAGGACATCTTGTCCTCTGGAACTGGAGTTACTGACAGTTGTTCGCCCTGTGAGTGCTGCCAATTGAACCTGGGTCCTCTGGAAGAGCAACAAGTGCTCTTTGAAGGCGATCAGAACAGTAGAGGCTTCCTCTGGGACCCCGGATTAGGCACAAACCATACCCAAACACCTGTTTTCACAGAAAGATTCTTTATTAAATGGGGTGGAGTGGGGGATGTTAAAGTGGCTTTTAAAGAGTTGGAAAAGGGGAGATCTGTGTTGGAATGGGCTAGGATGTAATGGAGTATTTTTATTGGTCACGTTAATTAGGTGAACCAGAGAGGAATTTTGATTGCTGGACTTTGGTACTCATTCTCAGTCTGGCATAGGAAAGTATCCAAATAAAGGGAAAGACCTTTATGGTTTTGCTTTAGGAATGTAATCTAATGGTTTTTAGCAAGGCAGAGAGAATGGGAGTGAAGGGCAAGGCCTGCCAGAGCCATATGCTTTAGTGGACTGGTGTCCCTTCACTCTTAACTGCTAGGGCATCTCTTCAGCCTCCAGGTTTTTTTTTTTTTTTTTTTTTGTTTTTTTTGTTTTTTTTGTTTTGTTTTTTGTTTTTTTTTTTTTAATTTGGCTTTGGCCCTTGAGGGCATAAATCCATAGATCCCATAAATGTGGGAGGACCTAAGTACTGGGACTTATCCACTAGCTACAGTCTCACTGAAGGCAGAAGTGGTATTTAATTCTGCTCGAGGGTCTCTGTCCTTCTAACAGTATGAGATTGTCACACAAGTCCTTGGAAGTTTTTTGATCACTTTTTTTTTTTTTTAAGTTTTTTGAAACAGGGTTTCTCTATTGCTTTGGAGCCTGTCCTGGAACTAGCTCTGTAGACCAGGCTGGCCTTAAACTCACAAAAATCCAGCTGCTTCTGCCTCCTGAGTGCTGGGATTAAAGGCGTGCACCACTTTTTAAAAGATTTTCTTTTTATCATGTTACATGAATGATGGAGATTGAAAGCAAGCTGAGAACGCCATGGAGAGCAATCCAGAGAGCAGCATCCTCTATGGTTTCTGCTTTAGTTTTTGCCCTGACTTCTCTCAGTGATAGAGTTTGCCCTGAGAGTTATAAGATGAAAGAAATCCTTTTTTTCCCCATGCTACTTTTGGTTATGGTGTTTTATCACAGCAATAGAAACCCTGAAAGAGATGCTATATGCCATTTATCACGGTCTCTAGGAAAGAAGCCAATTAAATCGGAGTTGTATTGTTAACCATTTATCCCATTAAGTATCACTAACAAAGTGATTTTGAAGTTTAAATGATTGACCTTAAAGTTCAAATGGAGAAATAAGTCTGCAACTATAGCTAGGAAAGCCTTTAATATTTAGTTAAGGGAGACTAATCCTCCCAAATATTAAACATGCTGTAAATCCTCTGTAATTAAGTTCATAGCACCAGTGTGTCAACAGACAGGCCAGTGGAACAAATAGAAAAATCCAGATTGCTTCTAACATTACAAAAATACATGCAAACTCACTTTATTGTTATTGGACCAATGCACATGGTACATGCAACATCCTGCATCACTCAAGACATTCTATACTTAAAAATTAAACTGAGACAATTGGGGGGGTATTGTTTGTTTTTTGGTTTTGGTTTTTCAAGACAGGATTTCTCTGCATTGTTTTGGAGCCTGTCCTGGAACTAGCTCTGTAGACCAGGTTGGCCTTGAACTCACAGAGACCCAACTGCCTCTGCCTCCTGAGTGCTGGGACTAAAGATGTGCGCCACCAACACCCGGTGAAACTGAGACAATTGTTGCAGTAGTTTGGATGAGAATGGTCCCAATAGGCTCTTATATTTGAATGCCTGTTCCATACTTGGAAAGAATTAGGAGGGCCTTGTTGGAGGAGATGTGTCACTGGGGGGGGGGGGTAGGCTTTGAAGTTTCCAAAACCCACACCATGCCCATTTAACACTCTCTGTTTAATGGTTGTTGTCTTAAGATGTAAACTCTCAGGTCCTGCTCCAGCACCATGCCTGCCTGCCTGCCTGCCTGCCTGCTGCCATGCTCCCTGCCCTGGTGGCCATGGACTCACCCTCTGAAACTGTAAGCCTCCAATTAAGTGCTTTCTGTTATAAGTCACCTTGGTCCTGATGCATAGTCAGAGCAATAGAAAAGTAACTAAGACAATTAGGTAATTGCTTGGAAAAATATAAATGAGTCCGTGTGTTACTGCTTACACAAGAATAAACAAAATTCCTAAGATCTCGGGAAGAAATATAAAGGTGCCATGCCAGCATGGGTGTGGGAGGAGCTTTCTGTGCTTCAGGCCCCAGATGGCAATGCAGAGATTGATAGATTCAACCTTGGAAAATCTGAAACAGACTTTTTGCAGACTAAAGCCAAGAGAAAATATTTACAACATGTATCAGAAATAGAACGCTAATGGCTCCATGAAGAACCCAAGGCCAAGGGAGTCAGTGACGATTCAAAGGCTTGTTAGAAAAAGAAATAAACACTGGGCCCGGTGGCAGACATCTGTGATCCCAGCATGTTGAAGGCAGGAAAGAAAGGATCATCATGGATTTGAGGCTAGTCAGTTTACATAGGGAGGACCAGAACAACTGAAAGAAGGGGCAAGTGGGGAACAAGAGAGAGCAAGGAAGGGGGAGGGGGAGGAGAAGGGAGCAGGGGAGGGGGAGGGAAGGGAGCAGGAGAGGGGGAGGGGGAGGAGAAGGGAAGGGAGCAGGGGGAGGGGGAGGGGGAGAGAAGGGAGCAGGGGAGGGGGAGGGGGAGGGAAGGGAGCAGGAGAGGGGGAGGGGGAGGAGAAGGGAAGGGAGCAGGGGAGGGGGGAGGGGAGGGAAGGGAGCAGGAGAGGGGGAGGGGAGAGAAGGGAGCAGGGGAGGGAGAGGGGGAGGGAAGGGAGCAGGAGAGGGGGAGGGGGAGGGGAGGAGAAGGGAAGGGAGCGGGGGAGGGGGGAGGGGAGAGAAGGGAGCAGGGGAGGGGGAGGGAAGGGAGCAGGAGAGGGGGAGGGGGAGGAGAAGGGAAGGGAGCAGCGGGAAAGATGTTCCACTTCTTACATCACAGAGATGCAGGCTGGGATGCAGCTCAGCTGCAGAGCACTTGCCTAGCATATGTGAGGCCCTGGGTACCATTCCACTACTTCAAAATGTCAATAAATAATAAAAATGAAAATTCCACAGAAATTGAATGAAGCAAGACAAAACTCTCTGAGAGGCTGTATGAAGTCAGCACTAATATAAACCCCAGCTGTGAAAAGGAAATGGTACAAAGCCTATGGAAGAAAAGTTTACAGCATCCAACAAAATTACATTTCTATTTAACCTTTGACAAACATCTTACATTTCTAGGTATTTATCTCAAAGATGTGTGCATAATCATTGCTTCCTTATTGGCAATAGAAAAACGTTGAAAAGAAGCTAATGCCCAAATTAGAGACTGGATAGGTCAATTATCATACATGTACATATGGTTTCAAATGAAGAAGGAATCTGTACACTGCAATTAGGTGATGCATAAAAAATGTTACAGCGCATGAGATGTGAAATGTATGCCACCCTTTGCCCAGAAATGAGATGGGTTTTGTTTGTTTTCCTTTTAGTTTCTTCAGAAAGAAACATGCAAAGAATGTTCAAATATGAATATGAAAAGGCCTGAGGAAGCCATCTTGAACAAGCTCTAGTTCTGAGGATTAAAATGAAAAATAAGTATTAAAAAAAATGTATGTATTAAGGAAAGCCAGGTATGGTATATACCTTTAGTCCCAGTACTCAGGAGGCAGAGGCAGGTGGATCTTTGTGAGTTGGAGGTCTACAAAGCAAGTTCCAGGACAGCTGGGGCTGTAGGGCTATTACACAGAGAAATCCTATCTTAAAAACTGAGAGAGAGGAAGTGAGAGAGAGAGAGACTGTATTAAAGGGCTGGAGAGATGATTCTATGTGAAGAACATTTACTGCTCTTGCATTGGATTGAGACAGATTCCCAGCATCCACACTGGAAGGTTCTTGATCACCTGTAACTTCAGTTCCAGGAGATCCAATGCCCTCTTCTAGCTTCTAGATGGTGCACATACAGACAAGCAGGAGCGTGTGCACACACACATACAAAATTAAATTAAAAAGAATGTATTAGAATACATCTAAGCTGTGCACGGTAGTGGATGTCTATAATTCCAGTACTCAGGAGGGAGGTTGATGTAGGAGGGTTATGAGTTCAAGGCCAATCTGGGATATATAATAAGTTATAGTCCAGCCTTGGCTACATAGAAACCCTGTCTTAAAAAAAAATCTAAACATTTAACAACAACAGAAAATTCATGAGTCCATAATGACATTAAACAAATACAGATGGGATAGGGGATGAATAGGAAGTTCCCTGGAGAAGAAAGCCAATTAATGAATAAAGATAAGAGGGAGAAGACTAGAAATAGAAAATCACCAATTGAGAGTCACCACAGGAATAGTTGAGTCAGGCAGAACTCATCAACAGATGCGAACACAGTGGGTAAGGACAGCTGGGTGACAGGATGCAAAGACACATAGCAGCTGTCACCACCACTGAACAAGCCACCATGGCCACGACAAGGAAGAGACCAACAGATGCCAGGTGACTCCTGATGTGATGTGCTCATCTCCTCCCAAAGAAAACAAAGACAAATGTAAAGCTGAATATACAGCAAGTTGTTTTTATGTTTTGGAAATGTGAGGTACATTCTGGAAAAAGATTTGCTTAGAATTCTAAAAATATCACTGTCATGAGAGACAAGGAAAAAAAGCAGAGAGGCTGACTGACTAAAGTCAGTAGATTATTGTTGATTGGATTCTAGATCTGGAAAATAACAACTTCCCCAGGGACGTCTCAGGAAATCTGGATTTAGGTAATGGTATCAGATTAACTGTCATTCCCAGAGTGGATAATTATATTGTACTTATAGCTGTAAACTGATGTACTCTGAAGTGAGTGGTGTGAAATTTTCTTTTTCTGAGACAGGGTTTCATGTAACTCAGGGTGACCTCAAAGTCCTTTTGTAGCTGGGAATGGCCTTGAGTTCTTGATTCTGTTTCTGCCCTCCAAGTGCTAGGGTTGTTGTGTCCCTCTGCCTGGCACAGTGTAAAGAGTAAGATGGCTTCACTCATCTTTCAGACGAGCTGGAGAAAATAAAGGAATGAGGCAAATGCAGCAAAGGACTGGCGAGTAGGGCAAAGTGTTTCCACTCAAAAGTGAAGACCGGGGCTAGAAAGATGGTTCTGTGATTAAGAGCACTGACTGTTCTTCCATAGGTCCTAGGTTCAGTTCCCAGCACCCATGTGGCAGCTCACAACTTTCTTTTACTCCAAAATCTGACACCCTTACACAGACATACATACAGGCAAAACACCAATGCACATAAAATACAAATAAGTTTTAAGTGAAGACCATTACAGTTATCAAAAATATTCCTACATCAAAGATCAACAAGTCTGTGCTGGTTTTTGTCAACTTGACACACACTAGAGTCACCTAGGAAGAGGAGACATCAAATGAGGAGTTGCCCCCATCATACTGGCCTGAGGTATGTCTTTATGGCATTTTCCTGTTAGATAACTGATAGGGGAGGGCCCAGCCCATTATGGTGAGTGATGCCAACCCTGGGCAAGTGGTCATGGGTTGTGTGAGAAAGCAGGCTGAGGGCTGGTGAGATTGCCCAGTGGGTAGAGGTACCTGTTGACATCCTAAATTCAATCTCCTGGATCCACAAGCTAGAAGAGAGCCAACTCTTACACACACACACAAACACACACACACACTTACACAGACACACACATACTCACACTCCCACACACACACATTTACACACTCATGCACACACACAAACTCACACATACACACACACACTCGCACACATACATATACAAACACATACACTCACACATACACACACATACATATACTCACAAACATACACATACTCACAATTACACACACACACATAGTAAGAAGAAAAAAATGAGCAAGCCATGGAGAATAAGTGGAAACAGTTTTCCTCCAAGGTCCCACCTCTGCTCCTGCTTCCTGTTGGAGCTCCTGCCCCAACTCCCTGAAATGATAGACTGTGAAGAATAAGATGAAAGAGTCTTAACCTTTCCAAGTTGTTTTCAGTCAGTGTTGTATCATAGCAGTAAAAAGCAAACTAGGATAAAGTTCCAACAACAACTTTTTCCCCAGACAATTCCACGTGGAAAGATGAAGCCAGCATCAAATGAAAGATTGAATACCTAATAGATTTGGATACAGATAAAATTTAAATAAAATGGCACTACATTAAAATCAGAAATAGCCAAGCAGTGGTGGTGTACACCTTTAATCCCAGCACTCGGTGGCATAGGCAGGTGGATCTTTGTGAGTTTGGGCCAGGAGTTCCTGGACAGCTAGGGCTATACAAAGAAACCCTGTCTCAACCACCCCCTCCAAAAAAAAGAAAGAAAGAAAGAAGGAAGGAAGGAAAGACAGAAAGACAGAAGCAAGGAGCTGGGGAGATGTTGAAGCAGAACACATATGTCTTAGGAGATTGCAACGAGAACTGGGATAGGATATATGAAATATTCATTAGGGTATAAAGGGTATATTTGTATTAAGCATTGTGACTGTGTAAATGTGTAGAAGACTATAACATGGAGGGCCAAGACAATATCAAGTTAATCAGAAAGGACGTCTTCAAAAGCAGGTGATGTCAGAGGAGAATGGGAATGTGGGAAGCAATGCCAGACAATAAGGATGTGACACAGGAACACCACTTAGAACAAAGACAGAGAAGGCGACTGGGTTCCCCACTAGGGAGAGACAGTCATGAACTCAGAGCTCTGGGTTCAGTGAGGCTGTGTGCTGGCTCTGTTCGGTCAAGTCTAGAAGCTTCCAGAAGGAAGTAATTTGAATAATGATGAGAGTCCACACCTCCCCCCAGCAACCCTTCTGGGACCTGGTTCTGCCCCATGAAGGGTGGGCAGATCGAGTGTGAGAAAAGTAAGGCCCAGATATAGAAATTTGTTTTCTTTCCTGGGACACACAGCAGAACTAGACTGGCACCCAGATTTCCTGGTGCCCGCTCTGAACCAAACTGCAAAGTGCATGCAAACTCCTCATTGTTCTGATTCCTCTCTATGTGTCTCCTGGATTATAATTTCACTCTTACACGAGGGGTAATATCTGTGGTATGTTCAGCATAGTGAGCCATGCAAAGGAAGTGCCTTACATGCTTTAGGGTGGTGATAATGACTTCTGTCCCAGAGGACAAATGAGCATGTGATGATTGGTGGCCTGTCTAGCCCTTTCTGTATATCCCTAGAAAGAACTGAACCCTGTTTCCTTGGCAACTCTCTTTAGAGACCTGATAATTTGAGAATTTGCCCAGCTTGAGGAGGAAAGGAGACAAACAAATATTTAGGCTTTTTTCCATCTGGCTTTGGGATTTGGGGGCTCCTCTTCTGCAGGCTTTGCCTACTCATCCCCACCTACCTGGATGTAGCTTCCTTCATATTCAAAGAAAAGAATCGGCCATGTAATGCTGATGATGGACAGAAAGAGCCTCTTTAGAGAAGCCTGAGGAGAAAAAGATAAATGGGGAGAGGGGATGTTCCGGAAGGCCTGGCTGCAACCATGCCCAGATCTTCTCCCCAGTCCCGGATGCTCACCGGCAAGGACTGCCCCACAGTGCTGTGAACAAGGGCCTGGATGTTTGTGGTCTTCTCTCTCCCCTGCTCCACCAGTGCCTGGACCTCCGTGAGGTTATCTGGATGGGATAGGAAGCATCAGAGTTAAAAGGCTAGGCTATGAAGCTGTTCTTCCTGCCCCCTGGGGTCCTGCTATGACACTCACTCTGTCCCTCTCTTGTTAGATAGTTTTTTGACCTGAGCTGGAATTGTTTGAAAAAAAAAAGGGTGGTGCATTTCCTTGATTGATTATTGATGGGCCCAGCTCACTATGAACACTGCTACCCCTGGGCTGGCGGTTCTAAATGCTATAAGAAAGCAGACTGGGCAAGCCATGAGGAGCAAGACAGTAAGTAGCACCCTCCATGGCCTCTGCATCAGCTCCTGCCTCCAGGTCCCTGCCCTGACTTCCCTCGGTGATTACACTTATAAGCTGTAAGATTAAAACAACAACAAACAAACTCTTCCCTGTCCAAGTCGATTTTGGTCTTGGTGTTTTATCACAACAGTAGGAACCCTAAGAGACCCTCCCTCTGACAAGGCACCCTGAGACTAAAAATGGCAGGCTCCTCTAAACCACTGCTGCTTCCAACCCCACTATTTGCATCTTCCCGCTCACCATCCAGGGTGAAAACGAAGATCACAGTGTCAATTGCCACCAGGGATGGCAGAATGGAGGTCAGGAAGTCATCCTGCGAGAAGGTGAACTGGGTACCCTGGGACAGAAGAAGATAGGAGAGGTCCTCCCAGCAGGACTGAAGGGGACCCAAGGAGACATCTGATACAGCCCTTTTGACTTCACTTGAAAAACAATCGGTGTTCAAAATGATAGCATTTTACCAAAGATTATGTGGCAGGCAGAGGGTAAATCCAGAGCCTTCCATACTTCATGCTTTGAGGTACCATGACCTCTGACCTACATTTTCTTGGGACTGTTCATCCCTTCATAGTTCCTCACCCCAATGCTCCACCCCTCCGCTGCTCTCTGCACACCAATGAGTTCTACAGCTTCCCAAGTCCTGTCATCTTCCAACCTGGTTGGTGAGCTCTGCCTTCTGGTTAAACATGCCACTGTGGTCACCAATGAGAAAGCCACAGATATCCTGGAAGTCTGGGGAATTTAAGATGAGAGAGAAAACAATGGTGGGCTTTAGAAGATGGGAAGGTTTTTCTTCAAGGGCTGTCATGGGGTCAGAGAGTAGGATGCGGCATGAGTGGTCATCTGTGTGGGCAGCTATGGTTAGAGCACTGGGGTAGGAACCGAGAGATCAAGGACCGAGGTAGAATTTGGTGCTTTAAATGAAAAAAGCATTTGACTGAAATGCCTCTTTATGTAGGACAGAATGGGCACTGAAGAACCTCAGGGGTTTTCAATAAAATGCTTTGGTAGTGGAAATCTGAAAGAATATCAGGACTAGGGCCTACCAGCACCAAAGGTGTGGATACACTCTACTCCATCCATGATGGCAATGATGCCAAGGGTCTGCCAGCCAACTAAGTACACCTAGCCTTTCTTCTCTAGGCTGAAGGGAGTCAGGAGCCAGGACACAAATGGTTGCCATGAAAAGAGGCCGAAGAATAATACAAGAGTAAACACCCAAGACCTTCCAACATGTGGACCCATCACTCTTGCCGTGTTAACACATCTCACAGAGTATCCCCAGCTCTCAAGATGTCCTCTACAAACACACAGCCACATACCTGGTGCTGACTTGTTTCATCAGGGTGGCAATTTTGGAACTTTGACCTGATGAGCCTGCTCAAATGTCCTCAGGATTTCCAGAAGGCATCTGGAAGAAAATTCACTAGCTCCCAAAGAGGGCCTGGTGCCCCACCCCCACTAAAGACCTAAGTTCCCCTTCGCATACCTAGGGGGTGTCACAATTCCCATTTAAAGAAAAGCTTGCTAGTTCATGCTGGAGGGAAATTGGGGGGAAGGAGAAGGGAGAAAAGAGCCCTGTTAATAAGAGAAGAAAATATTCTATTTTAAAAAGGGCTGCAGTGAGAAAAACAAAAGCCAAGAAGAGGATGGGTGGTTGGGTTTGAGCATTCTAGAAGCTGGGCCAGAGATTCTGGTAAGGGAAGGAAGTTCTAGCAGAGCAGGTTCCTAGCCTGCATGAACCTTGGAAGCTAGCCCCTGTGTGCTGAACCTCCCATCTCCTCCCCTGTGTTGGTCACCAGTGCATGGACCTGATCGCCAGCGCGTCTGTTTCCTCCATACCTTTGACAGGCAGCAACACCCTGGTCCACAGTCTTGTGGGCCACCAGTAGCAGGGTTTCCATCAGAACCTTGGTGGCACTTCCACCTTTCATTGGGGAAGAGCCACTGAGCCCCTCGGGCTAACGAGGCAATGACAGTAAGAGGGAGTGGGAGGAAGAGAACAACCCAGGGTCTATCAGTTCTCCAGTTCTCCCTGAGCATGGATGGTGTTGGGCATGGAATGATTGGTGACTCCTGGGCATGAGTGTGACTGGGGTCCCCATTAGATGTCCATTCTGGTTAGTAACCCCTGAGCACACATTTTACTGGTGGCCTTAACTGTCTTATAAGAACGGGTGCTGGGCTGTGCTTAACTGAAAGGAGAAGAGAAAGAAAGGACCACCTCTGGCCATCTCTATGGTGAGTCCAAGATTCTCTAGAAGGAAGCCACAGCGGTTGTGCCTCTGGTCAGGGTTTCAGAGAATAGTTTTATCTGAGAACCTTCCCCACCATGTTTTATGGTAGTTTGTCATTCCTCAGTGCCAAGTTTCCTGTGTTTTGGACAGACACATGGAACTGACAATCAGTGGTACAGATTTATAACACAGTACATTACAAAGATTGTAGCAAAGAGAATGCCATGGCCAGTGATTAAAAACAGAAGACTAAGGGCTGGAGAGATGGCTCAGTGGTTAACAGGGCTCTCTGCTCTTGCAGAGGACCTGAGTTAAGTTCCCAGCATCCATACGGGAAGCTCATAACTGCCTGCTCCAGGGTAACTGTTGTCCTCACCTGGACTCCATGGTCACCTGCACTCACACACACACACACACACACACACACACACACACACACACTCACACACACACCTAAAAATAATTTTAAAAATAAACCTCTAAAGAAAAAAATAAACAAATCAGAAAACCAACCAGTAGAATGAGGATGAGACATGAGCCAAGAACAAGCTATGTATACCATGGAATTTTCCTTCCTATCTCACCTGAATATTGAGAGGAAGGTCTCAGATGTGCTCACCACTGACAAAGGGAGGTAGGAAGCAAACGTTTTGGTTAATAAAAAAGTAAGGAGTCAGGTAGTGGTGCACACCTTTAATGCCAGCACAAGGGAGTCAGAGGCAGGAGGATGTCTGTGAGTTTGAGGCCAGCCTGGTCTACAGAGAGAGTTCTAGGACAGCTGCATTTACACAGAGAAACCCTGTCTTGTAAAAGAAAAAAAGAAAAGAAAAAAGATATACTAGTGAGATGTGTGCAAGACCCAGAAAAGAATAAAGAACAGGAATTCTGAGGTTAAGAGGGCATGTGGAAAGGATAATGAAAGACATAAGAATGAAATTCTTCTGGATGGTGCACACCTTTAATCCCAGCACTTAGGAGGCAGAGGTAAGCAGATCTCTGTGAGTTCAAGGCCAGCCTGGACTACAGAGTGAGTTCTAGGACAACCAGGGATACACAGAGAAACCCTGTCTTGAGGGGAAGGGGGCTGGCTGCTCTTCCAGAGGACCTGAGTTCAATTCTAAACACTCACATGGCAGCTCACAACTATTTGTAACTCCTGTCTGGAAAAATCAAAACACAAACAAAAAACAAAGAAAAGGAATGAAACTACATCCTGAGTTTTAAAGCCATATATGAAATTTGAATCTGTAAAAGAGACTGGATGAGACCTAACAGCAGTTAGTTAGTCAAGGCTGTCTGTGCATAGATGGCAAAGGGCTCTTTTAAACTGTTCTAGCTCTTCTAGACTGTTCCACATCCTAGAAATGCTTACTGATTACTGAACTGAGAAGCAGGGCTGAAATAAATAAAGATTTAAAAAAAAAACATTGTGAGGTAAAGAGAAAGTAGGACTGCATTGAAAACGTGAGGATTGATATAAAATGCCTTGGGGATTTATGAACAGGGACTTTAAGATCAAAGATTCCCAGTAAGTGACCAACAATTCCTGCATGCTTGAAGAGCTGCACAGAGAAAGCAAGTCTGACCCACCCCAACAGCAAGATTGAGCACGAAAGCTTCCTGTCTCTCTTGCATCTTCTGCATCCACTCCGCTACTTGCCGGGATGTTGATCTCCAGTCTTCAATGGCATCATTTCTGAGGTCCAGAGAAACAGAAGAAAAGGGATAGCCTGTGATAGTCTGAAGGAAAGGCCTCATCGAGAGAGTGGGGTCAGAGGTCAACTGCTGCACAGAGAAATGTGTTTTGGAGCATCTGGGGTGGTATGGCTCTGAACCCCAAGGATTGGGTTAATAATACCTCCAGCAACAAAGCCAACATTCAAGTTTAAAATTCTAGCTGGAAGCCAAGTGTCAAAACTACCACCTTGCATTCCATCTTCAACTCCTTTGAAACCTTTCACATCCTTGCAAATACATCTGAAAATCTCTCCAAGGAGTGAACCCTACTACCTGAGGGAGGAATGTTGGGCCCTAGTGAGGTACAAAGTTATGTTATTAACTGTAGCATCTGTTGGTGAATATAAATTAATTGGGAACAAAGCAATGTGTTAATGAGATAAGAGAGCTGGTACAGTCTATATGCTTAGCTACAAATTGTGGAATCTCAAAAACATGAGGGTATTCTGAAGTGGGGGAAAATTTGTGAATTGCTCAATATAGCAGGACCTTAAAGACTGAGCTAAGCCAGCACTGGACATCCCTAACTGTCCCTTATCATTACATTATCACATCCCTGACAAGATTCCATCCCTTTTTAAACTATCTGTTTTAGTGTGTGTGTGTGTGTGTTCATGTGTGTGTGTGTGTGAACATGTGCAACTCCACATTCCCATGTGTGTGGAGGTCAGAGGCCAACCCCAGATGTCTTCTCCAATTACCCTCCATCTTATTTTTCAAGATAGGGTCACTCACTAAACTAGACTGATTGGCCAGCACACCCAGGAATCCTCCTGCCTCTGCTTCCCTGGCACTGGGATGACAGGCACATGCCAGCCCATTCTTGAACTATTTTATAGATTTTTCTTCTATGTGAATTCTGAGACAGACAAGTTTTACCTATTTTATACCCATTGTGTAAAGTGCCTTGTATCACTGTCCTTGAGTTAATTTCTAATGCTTCCTAGAGACCTGAGAGAGGAGAGACCTGAGGAGGAACACAGAATGCACTGACATTGTGCAGTAAAAATTAGGGTTCCCGGACTTTGATGACAATCAATTCCGACCCCCTGGGAGGGGGTCTGTTTTGTTCTGGATACTACACCTCCCCAGAGGTTAGCCTCAGCAGGTGTGCACAGAGCTCTGCACTGTATTTTTATCAAGCTTTTGAGCCAGTTCTGAAGATGAGCCAAGACAGGGAGCCACCACTTTAAGGAACAACTGGAAGATCTCCACGCCTACATTGTTTAAAATTCTTCATTTCACTTAGTCACAGGGCCTGAAATTAGCACCCGCTGCTGCAGATATATTTTGGGTGAGGAAGAGCCCTCCATGAGAATGATCGGGGTTAAGAGCATCGCAGACTCATTTACACCTCAGTGTGAATTACACTACAAGCCTGAAATCTGGAAATTGGAAGGGAATGTCCCAAAGAACCAGACTCTCTCACTTCAATGCCCTCTAGACAAGAAGTACTTGGTGCCATCCAGTGATCCAATTCAAAGGCTTATTTAGCAGGGATTCCCAGCTGTGTATTAGAATCACCAAGGATTCTTTAACAGGCACACAAAACACCAATGCACATAGAAATTAATACATAAAAAAAAACATGGTTTCTCTGTGTGACTCCCTGGCTGTCCTGGAACTCGCTCTCCAGACCAGTTGGGCTCAGACTTCAAAATCCACCTGCCTCTGCCTCCTGAGTGCTGGGATTAAAGGCTTGTGCAACCCCCCCCCCCCCCGTTTATGTAGTATTTGTAAGCTGCCTTCCACCCTTTCTGAAACCATTTAAGGAGAGACCATTTAAGATGAAGCAACCAACAAAACTTCAAAAGTTTAGGGAACATCCTGAGACTTGGCAAGAAAGACTTTAGATCCATCTGCCTTTTTCCTACTGTGGACTTAAACATGTCCCTTTCCCAGACTCCCCCTAAGGCCTGGCAAGTCCTAACAGAAGCCTCACCTGGCCATGCTCACTGGATTGAAGCCAACCAGAACTGGCAAAAAGACAGCTGTGTTATCCATGCAGTAGTCCATCTGGCCTGCCACAAAGGGTGCCTGATGGTAGCAAGAGAGGACAGCACAATAAAGGGAAACATTCTGAGTGTTTCCCAAGGTTCACATGGAAGCTGCCCCAGCATGCTTGTTAGAACAAAGACTCCTCATCCAAATTAAGACTTTGTTGATTCCACTTTTGATGTGGGAGGAGCATACTTTTCACAAATAGCCCAAAAGTACCAGCACTAGCTTTTCTTTGAACTATGATTTCTTGTATAGTCCATGCTGGCTTTGAACACACAACCATCCTTCTGCCTCTGCCTCTGCCTCTGCCTCTGCCTCTGCCTCTGCCTCTGCCTCTGCTTCCTGAGTGCTTTAAACACACAATCATCCTTCTGCCTCTGCTTCCTGAGTGCTGGGATTACAAGCAAGATTCACTAAACTAGTGCTACATTTTTCTTATGTTCCTCCGTAGAAATTTCCCAAATGGTGAAGTTCAGAAACCACTGATCACAGTTGTAATTGCAATGACCACCTTGAGGTCAATGTCCTGTCTCTACTCGTCATCCAACTGCTGGCATCTAAGGCTCTGCACCCAACTCTTAGAAGCAAAACTGCTGTGGTGTTGGCAGGACCAAGCTTGGTGGTTCTCATACAGACATCCTGAGATTATTGTTAAAGTGCAATTGACCCTCTGGAGCCTGAGATCCAGTATTCCTAACAAGTACCAGTGGATACTGGTGTTGCTAGAGGGGATGAAGCCAGGGGCAGACTCTGCTGTGGAGAGCCAGAGAGTAAATACTTCAGGCTTTGTGGGCCCTATGATCTCTGTCCAACTACTTAAGCCTAGAACAAAAGAGGCCATGAATTTTAAGTAAACATTAAGGCTACATGCCAGTAAAACGATCCACAAATTCAAGCAGCTAGTTACCCCATCTGCCAGCATAGCTTGCTGGCTGAACCCTGGACTAGTCTGTCCATCTTGGCCATTTATGAATCAATACACAGTTATTCTGGGATGGAACTCCCTCCCCCTCTTTTCATAGCCATAAAAAATAGATCCAAATTGGTGGAAATTAAAATTCCTTGGGTAGGATTCCTATTTCCTAGCACCCACCTCGTCAATATATCAGCCATGCCATCCTAGTCACACTCCCTCCTTGTAAAATCTCCCCAGTCAGCTGCCTTCACACTTACAGAGAGTCCCACCCATGCCTATGACAATGGCTCTTCTTCCCAGCAGCCACCTAGGAATGGAGGAGGTGTGGGTCAGGGTGACAGGGAGCAGGAAGGTCATCAGGGTACACATCTATTGTATGAGAAAATCAGGGCCAGAAGAGGGGGCCAGGCCTTGCCTGAGGTTGAGGTTTTTCTAACACTACAAAAAGGGACCCACAGGTGTCCTTGTATTGAGTAGTATCAGATAACACAGACCTTCTTCAGCTCCTCGGTCTTCAGCCCTCCATGTAGGGCACTGTCTTCTGTCTGTTCCCGAGAGGTCACAACAGACCTAAGGGTACAGACTCAGTCAATGTCACTGGCACTGGCTACAAAGCAGAAACCTATGTTCCTTAGGACAGGGCACACTGAGAGAATGGAATGGAGGAAAGCAATCATTGAATGGGCATCTACTGTTTAACAGGGACCAATATAGGTACACCAGGCAGTGGCACACACCTTTAATCCCAGCCCTCAGAAGGCAGAGGCAGGCGGGTCTCTGTGAGTTTGAGGCCAGCCTGGTCTACAGAGTGAGTTCCAGGACAGCCAGAACTGTTACACAGAGAAACCCTGTCTCAGATAACAAAACAAAATTCTCATACAAGGGATAGATAGGCAATAAAAGTCTGTCTGTGAAGGGGCCAGATATAAGGTAATACAGAATGGTGGAGATAGAGGTAGGTTCAATGTAATCTTTGACTAGACTCATTCCAATTCAGTTTCTAAAGGGAAAAAAAAACCCACTTGGGCCACAAGCACAGGTCAAGGTCACTTACCTGTCACCTCTTTCAATGAGGTATGTGTAAAGAGGCTTTTCCTAGGCCTTTCATCAACTGGTTAAAAGAGACCTGTCCAGGAGGAGAGGGTGTGAAGAGGGAATGAGAAAGAGGATATAATGTGGATTGAGGGTGAGTAATGACCTTTTAGACCAATACCTAGCCCTAAATTATTTGTAATCTACCACTTAAACCTGCAAACTGGGGATGATGGGTTAGTGATGCAGGAGATGTGGAGACATTAACAAGAGGAAGGCAGAGCTCTAGTAGAGCCACAGATCCAACTCTACCCTGGGCTCTAGCTTTGGAAAGGAGGTGGGGAGAGGCTATATCTATGGAGAGAACTTACCTCTGATGAGCTTTATGGTTCTGGGTGACAGCCCCAGATGGAAGGGAAGAAACAGAAAGGGGTACTCGCAGCCATGAGAAATGCCATCCGGCCAGAGGTCCCTCCCCCACTCAGCACTACCAGGCCTCCATCTGGCTCCTGAGGGAGGAAAGGAAGGAAAAGCCCAGCTCACCAGGGCCCAGCTCAGGGAGAAGCATGCTTTTCTTTCCTTTGTCAGTAATGGAGGAAGACTTAGAACTACTTATTCTCCTTATCATCATTGCGAGGTAGCAAAAATATAACAATGATTTGGAGAAAAAAATCCTCTTGGCTCTCCTCTCTGACTAAGCTATTCATTAAAATTCTTACTTATTCCAAAAAGGACTTGAGAACAGCTTTGTAGATTAAATAAAAATAAATAATCAAAGCAGAAGCATTCAGCAATTATTCACTGGGTACATTTGAGCAAGCTACTGTGATCATCTGTTCTTTGTTTTCTGGTCTAGAAAAAGAAAAAAAAATGAAAACAATACCAACTTCACAGGTTTTTGTGAAGTTACTGAGTGTAAAAGTGTATCACTGGGGATGGGGGAGGGTGGCTCAGCGATTAAGACACTGGCTGCCCTTCCAGAGGAGCCAGGTTTGGTTCCCAGCACCCACATGGCAGCTCCCAACCATCTGTAACGCCAGTTCCTGATGATCCAGCACTTTCTTCTGCCCTCCAAGGGCACCAGATACTCATGTAGTACATAGACAAGCATACAGGCAAAACCATAGACATTTAATAATAATAATAATAATAATAATTTTAAAAAGAAAATGTATGCTAGGCAGTGGTGGTGTACGCCTTTAATCCCAGCATTTGGGAGACAGAGGCAGGAGGATCTGTGAGTTTGAGGCCAGCCTGATCTACAGAGTAAGTTCCAGAACAGCCTCCAAAGCTACACAAAGAAACCCTGTCTTTAAAAAAAACAAAATTAGAAAATGTGCCACTGATGATAAGGTATTATTCATCTAGTAATTATCATAACTATTGTTAATGACTAAGATAAAAAATATCCAAAGGGAAGACCAAGGCAATAAAGAATGGAGATTTATAAAAATGAGAAATAGAGATCCAAGAAAGAGAGCGTCAGAGGGGACGGAAGTTTTTGGCTGAGAAACAGGTGGAGAGTTAGTGCCTTCAATACCTCCTGGACTTTCCCAGCCACTTGCAGCATGGTGGTCAGAACTGACTCTCTGTACAGTCTCTGTAGAGAGTGGACAGGAATCCGCAGGAAGGAAAGGAGGGTAGGAGGGAGGCCGTGAGATGGCTCAGTCGGCAAGAGGAGTGCTGCCAAGCCTGACAGTCTGAGTTCAATCCCTGGGACCCTCATGGTGAAAGGGCAGACTGATTCCCAAGAGTCGTCCTCTGACCTCTATATACTTCCCCAAGGAATAAATCCCCCACCTCACAAAATAAATACATAAATAAATGAAAAGGGGGTATGAGGGGAAAAGTGAAAGAAACAGAGGATGGTGGATTGGGATGGAGGAGAAGGCTCAGGATTTCCAAAATCAGGAGCTGTAGCCTGGGAGGGTAAAGGATGAGATGTGATTGGCTTGACATCTCTTCTGCATGTCCAAGGTTTGGCTGTGGGTCGTCTGACAGCCCCTCCTCCTGGAAGATCTCATAATCACACCGCCCCAGCAGTTGAACAATTTTCTCTGCATCTGCTTTGTCCAAGTTCCGGGTCAATGGGTTGGACTTCTCTGTGATTGGCACAGCTGTTTCACACCCTGAAAACTAGAGAAAAGGAGGCGCAATGGCAGAGTCAGGGAGCCAAAGTCTGTTTTAGGACTGCTGGACTGGAGGTGGGAGTGGGTGTAGGCACAGTGTTTAGCTTGCATTCACACACACACACACACCATACACACACACACCATACACACACACACCATACACACACACACACCATACACACACACCATACACACACACACCATACACACCATACACACACACACCATACACACACACACCATACACACACACACACACACCATACACACACACCATACACACACACCATACACACACACCATACACACACACACCATACACACACACACACACCATACACACACACCATACACACACACACCATACACACCATACACACACACACCATACACACACACACCATATACACACACACCATACACACACACACCATACACACACACACACACCATACACACACACACCATACACACACACCATACACACACACACCATACACACACACACACCATACACACACACCATACACACACACCATACACACACACCATACACACACACACCATACACACACACACACCATATACACACACCATACACACACACACCATACACACACACACCATACACACACACACACCATTCACATACACCATACACACACACCATACACACACACCATACACACACACACCATACACACACACCATACACACACACACCATACACACACACACCATACACACACACACCATACACACACACCATACACACACACCATACACACACACACACCATACACACATACACACCATACACACACACACCATACACACACACTATACACACACACACCATACACACACACCATACACACACACACACCATACACACACACACCACGAACTTAGTCTTTGTGTGATGCTCTGAGCCTGTTAGGGAAGGAAGAACACAAGGGGAAAAGGGAAAGGATGCCTACATAGGGTGTGTGCCTTCTATCCCAGCATTTGGAAAGTGGCAGTAGGGGATGAAGAGTTCAAGGAAATCCTCAGCAAGTTTGAGGCCAGCCTGAGTTAGTCCCTGTCTCAAAAGCCAAAAAAGAAGAGGAGGAGGAATAAGAAGGAATAGAAGCCCAGGGTTGAGGCCAGCCCAAATTTAAAACTATTCTAGGAATCACTGCAGAGGGCTAAAATTGCAAAAGGGCCTCACCTCCCACTTACCAGGCTCAGGGGTCTCGATCACGTGCTGATATCGTTTTGTGCCTGGCATGGTCCCACACTGTGGCTACTCCGTCCTGCCTGCCTCTGAAGTCACACAAACCCCTCTGGTGACAATGATTTTGCTTCGAGGTGGCAGGGTCTTACTGAGCCACAGAGATAATTAACCTCAGAATGTGAGCACCGCCCCGCCCCCATACCTCTCTTCAGCACCCTTTCCCCTCAGTAGCTTCCCAGCTGTCCATGGGAGCTCCTGGAGGTCCTCTTTGCATATTGTCTATCTTGTCGGCCTCTGTTTGTTCTTGAAGAAGAGGACCAGAAAGTCATTGCTTTTGCCCTTCAGGCACAGTGCACTCTGGAAGGCTGAGGGCCTGGACGTGCAGAGCAACACCAGGTCAGAAAGAATCCTGAGCAAGAGAGTTCTGGGGCCCAAATGCCTCTGAAGGCCAGAGATCAGGGTCAGCAGGAGGCAGAGGGCAGGGGCCATGGCTTGATCACATGTCAGCATGCTGTCCTTCCTGCTCCACTGGCCCATTTTATCCTCTCCTGTCAGAAAGGAAAGTAACAGAAGCCGCTGGGCCCCAGGTGTACATACACTGAACTGGATCTCACAGAGAAAAATCCACAGAAATAGAAATACTGCAAAAAGAAAGAGGAACGAAGAACCTGTCCTAAATACAGCCAGTGTCTTTCTCCCGACCAAAGATGCACGTCCCCCCAAACAGCAGGCATCACTGGGTACACAGCCACTTAGACGTCATTGTTGAGGTTCAGAGAAGCGGTCCATTGTCTAGTATCACACAGATTTCATACTCAGCTAAAATATGGAATAATTTAAGGACTTAACATGTTTCCTGAATTTTGCAACAACTGACAAGTTGGTGCAAATTAATGACACTCTTTCATACAGTAGAGGAAGGTTTTTAAAGATCCTTATCCAATGTCCTCACATCTGATAGTCTAACAACTGTTCGAGGTTTCTGTGTGGGAAACCTGAGGCTAATGGATTTCTCTAAAATGAATGAGTTAGACAGACAGACAGACAGACAGACACACACACACATACACACACACACACACACACACACACACACACACACACGAGAGAGAGAGAGAGAGAGAGAGAGAGAGAGAGAGAGAGATTTGCTTTTTAATTGTTCCTATATGCCCAGCATTATTTTTAAATATCCAGCTCTTGTAATGCCAGGCACATAGAAGATGATCAGTAAATAGTTGCTGAATAAATGAAAGAATGAATGAGAAAGCTAGTGGACTCAAATCAGATCATCAAAGGGAAAAAGACCTAAAGGCCAAGAGATTGTTAAAACAATGATCATCTCCACCACTCTCTCCCCTCTTCTCTTAGCCCCCTCCAGCATGCAGAGATGGAATGCCTCCTCCCAACTTGGCTAAATTTCATGCAGGGAAGGAGGGGCTCTCCCAGGTGCCTGAGACCCTCTTTGCACCTGTGCCTGTCTGAGTGCCTCCGATTCAGTTCCTCTACTAGAGCTGGGAAGATGAAGGGATAGGGGCCCAGCAGGCCGCCATTGGGAGGGTCGTGGGAGGAGCCCCGAGAGAACAAGGATGGGGGGGTGAAGGGGAGGGAGAATGACGGCGGCGAGAACCCCAGCGGGGCGGGGCGGACCCGCGCGTCCCAGCCGGGCTGCAGCGAAGCGCGCGGGGCCAGCTCTGCAGAAGGCAGCGGCTGGCTGGCCGGGACGGTCACATCCAGCCGCAGGGGGCCAGCTTCTGCCGCCGCACTGTCCTCTACACCCCGGACGCAGGCCAGCTGCCAGACCTCGCCGGCAACGCCCCCTGCTCCGAGACAGACTACGCGCGGCCCTTGGGAACACTGGGGTCCCCGCAGACCCGCTGCCCGCGGCCACTCCGCCTCTGCTGTCTCTGCCTGCAGCTCGGCCGGCGCTGCCCGCCCGGGCGGGCCCGCGTCGGGATGGGGTAGGGCCAGCGCCAGTCCGGCAATGGGCCGCCCCCTGGGCACCGAACAGCCCCCCGAGGCCTGATCGACCACGAGGACCCGGGAGGTGGGTGTGGGCTGATACGACTGCGCGGGTGGGGGCTGGGGTGGGCACCGGGGTTATGCGGAGGCGGGAAAGGCGAGGGGAAAATGGGCTGTGGGCCGTGGGAAGCCTGGGAGAGCTGCTGCATCCCGCTTGCGTTCTGGGCAGCTCCTGAACCCCTCAACTCCTGCCTCCTCCAGGATCCCCGCGTGGATGCCAAGCGGATGCCTCCGGGCCCCTCAACGAACTCGGTGGAAACCATGGCTTCTTTGATGCCTATTTCCCCGTATCTGAGTCCCACGGTCCTCCTGCTGGTCAGCTGTGACCTGGGCTTTGTGCGAGCAGGTGAGTGAAGAGGATGCCCGCAGTGGGGGTCCGCCAGAGATAGTGTGGAAGTGAAACCTCTTAACCTGTTAACACCTGGCACCCCCAGACCGACCTCCCTCGCCTGTAAATGTGACGGTCACTCACCTCAGAGCCAACTCGGCCACTGTGTCCTGGGACGTCCCAGAAGGCAACATCGTCATTGGCTACTCCATTTCCCAGCAAGTATGAATCACTCTGTTTCCCCAACCTGTGCCCTTGGACCTCTGAACACTTCTCCAGTCACCTCCATGCTACTCCTTTGGAGTGCTTGAATGTTAAGCCTAATGGTCAGGGACTGGGGCTAGGTTGCTCTCCTTTCTCTGTATCTCTTTACAGCGACAGAATGGCCCTGGGCAGCGTGTGATCAGAGAAGTGAATACCACCACCAGGGCCTGTGCTCTTTGGGGCCTGGCTGAAGACAGTGACTACACAGTGCAGGTCAGGAGCATCGGCCTCCGCGGAGAGAGCCCCCCGGGGCCCCGTGTGCACTTCCGAACTCTCAAGGGTTCTGACAGGTTGCCCTCCAACAGCTCCAGCCCAGGTGAGAGCCTATGTTAGTAGATTCTCAGGGTTTTTACCTGGTTTTAACATCTCGTTTACTTGCTTAAGCTAACCACAATCTAGCTCATATGAATAGAAGGATGATTTAATTGGTTCTACTGCCAGGGTAGGAAAGGAAAACAGGTGGGAAGGGGACCAGCTATAGAGATGCTGCTAATGAATCCTTTGGGGAAAGGGCTTTTCAGTTTCCTTTCACCCAAACTCACATCACAGGCACCACAGCCTGCATGAGCAAGTTCTATGATCACCCTTGGATCTCTAAACACTGCCCACCAAGAGCCTCTTCCTGAGAGGGGCTAACCCACAACACCAGGGTCAGTGCAATGGCGGATCCAACGTCTCCCTTTTGTGTGTAACAGAACTCTCCAGTGGGTCCTTGGTAACCCAGAGGATGGCTCTTTTCTTAGGTGACATTACAGTGGAGGGTCTGGATGGAGAGCGGCCACTCCAGACAGGGGAAGTGGTCATCATTGTGGTGGTATTGCTCATGTGGGCTGGTGAGTACTGAATGGGGAACCAGGGACTTGGGCCTGTGACAACGGGAAGTGGTGAAGGCTATCTGTCAGGAGAAGAGGGAGAGAAAAGAATTGAGGGGAGGGATGGTGGAGGGAGGTAATGAGGACAAGGTTGAGGAGAAAGAGAAGAGGTTACTGCAAGGCCAGGGATGAGGGTTGCATGGGACCAGAAGTCGTGTGAGAATCTCAGTACTCTTCAAGGCTGTGTGTGAGTGGAGAGGTCAAGATCAAGACTCATATGATATTGTTGTGTTTCAGCTGTAATTGGGCTATTCTGCCGTCAGTATGACATCATCAAGGACAACGACTCCAACAACAACCCCAAGGAGAAGGGGAAGGGTCCTGAACAGAGTCCTCAGGGAAGGCCAGTGGGGACAAGACAGGTGATGTGGGGACCAGTGAGTGTGACAAGGGTGATTTGGTTGAAAGGCAGAAAAGGGAGTGGGTGGGACTGGAATGTTTGAGATGAAGGGGTCCAGAAGACAGGGGCGGTACCTTCACCTTTCTGGAATTCGAGGTTTGGGTAACTTTCTTTCACAGAAAAAGTCTCCATCCATCAACACCATCGACGTTTGAGTGAACTGAGTGAATGAAGAACCAGAACCAAAAGAGAGATGCTCTGATAATGGGGGGGGGGTGGGGTCAGGGAAAGCCTAAGCTGATGATCTGCTTGAGACTCCCACAAGGCAGTGCACTTCCAGAATCCCAGGCTGATACCCATCCTCTTTCCACTGTGAGCAGGGCCAGAAGGTAGGTCTGTTAGAATCTGTACCCCTGGACCTGGGAGTGGATATCAAATGGAACATCTCCTATCCCCCAGGTCCAGGGGAGGCTCATTTATTCAACCCTATCCCAATAGGTCCCAAATAGGGGCCCCATCTCCCTGCATCAGGACTATTGGCATCCACTAGCTGCCCCTGCAGACAGGGGTGTTTCTGTCTGTATTGCCCTCCTCTGGGGTGTAAGAGGAACCATCTGGGCCTAGAGGCAGATGCCACACTGCACTACTCCAATGTCTTCCACGGAGCCTCAGGTGCTCCCCCTCACCTGGCAGCACCTTCAGCTGCTGGTGATCTCACCCCTGGGACATTTTTCCAATAAAGGTTCTTGGACAAACCGGAACTGACTGAATGGTATGCTGAAGACATCTCCACAGCTTGTGAGCTCTCCAAGAGCCCCTCACGCCACCACCAACTTAAAGGAGCAGACTCATTATAAGATGTTTGTGTCAGTTTTTCATCTAAGATGGGTGGAGAACAGACAAGGAGGAGAGGGTACAGAAAGCCTGAAGCCTCCTTTCTTTGGCTTTGCTGAATGGGGGCAGTAGGGGTGGGAAGTCACAGAAGTATCTGCACCAATGGAAACCAGGCCATGTCACATGAAAGGGCCAGTAGATTGTTTTTTTATCTTTGTCCAGGACCTTGTGCACACTAGGCAAATGCTCTACCACCGAGTTATATAACTAACCCCCTCCCCCTTCCTTTGACCCCCCCACCATTCACTCTGGGAAAACGGTCAGAAGGACCAAGCAGTGTCTCGGGACTAACAGAAGAGCAGCTGTCACCCATGTGTCCCTTGGTGCCATGTGTCGC